GCTCCCGGGAGGGCTGCAGCTCGGGCTGTGGGCCGCCGGCCTGGGGCCCAGCCTGAGCCTGTCTGGGGCTGGGAGGAGCGAGCGCCGCTCTGTGATCCCCGGGACCGTGGGGGAGGCGGGCGGCCTGAGCCTGAGTCCTCACCCACGGGACCCAAAACGGACAGCAGGAAAGAGCTCGTCAGCCAGACATCTGAGGCCCGCAGCTGCCCTCTGAGGCAAACCTGGCCAGGGTGGGCGCGTCACCAGCACCTCCGCTTGGAGGGGCGGCCGGGCAGAAGCTCCCCACACTGCAGCAGCCCCCGGCTTCCTGGGGGCTCCTCCCCTCCTGTGAACAGTGTCTGCCATGCCACTGCAGCCACCGCCACTCTGGGGGGACCTCAGGCAGCCCCGCCAGGGCTCGGGGTGTCTGGAGGATGGAGCAAGCCAGCGCCAGGCCCCCCACCCCAGGCCAGTGCGGCCGGGCCTCCCTGCTGGCACAGAGGTCACAGTGCAGCACAGCAGGCCGCCCCGGAGCTGACCCCAGGGCCAGCAGACCCCTCCTGCCGCCCGCCGCCCCCTCAGCAGTGGGCTGCGTCCGGCGGCCCGTTCTGCTCCCCACTCTGCCTCTGGGGAGGCCTCTCGCCGCCCTGCACCGCTGGCCTGCGCCCCAGCTCTGCGTCGCCGGAGACAGAGTGGGGAGCAGGGCCGGTCAGGAGGGGTCTGCCGTGCCCTGGAGCTCACCTCTGGGGCGGGGATCAGAGTCGCGCTGAGGCGGCCGCGGCAGCTCGCAGTGCTGCGCCCTCACCCGCTGCCCACCAGCGAGGGCCCGTGAGTCTTCTTTTGAAAAAAGGAGACAGCTAATTGGGCTGAGCCAAAGTGCAGACCGTGCAGACCGTGGCCACAGAGGCAGGAGACAGCTTCGGGCAAATCCCGGGAGCAGGGAGAAGCACCTTCTTGACTTGGAGAGAAATTTTGTCTTGAGATTTATTTTACTTATTTGTGCTCACGCGGCCTGGGCGCGACAGAGGCGTTGGGGAGGGCGGGGCGGGGCGGCGCGCCCTGGGGTCACTCCTGGCCGTCTGGGCCCTGTGGGGCTGTGGTGGCTGGACTGACGTTGCTGACACTGACCCCTGGGTCCCCAGGAGGCCCCGGACAGGCATCTTAGTGGCTCCAGTAGTGAGGCCGCCCGCACGGCCGCCCAGAGTCTGCCAAGCAGCAAAGCGCCCGAGATGGGGCAGCAGGCCGGGCACTCACCGCCAGGGAGCCCCTCCCCTCGGGGCTCCGGCCACCTCTCTGCCGGGCCCCAGTCCTGCCAGTGGTCGTGGGCAACGCACAGGCTCAGACGGGCACTGAGGGTCAGTGGGGGGACCGGCCAGGAGGGCGCCCCACGCCCCGCTGTGAGGACCCTGGTCACCCACTGCATCTGGGCGGAAGAGGAAGCGCAACTGGCTCCAGCCGGGTCAGCACGAGGGCCGTAGCGTCCACTTCTGCTGACCCTCAATAAGCAAATTCCTTCCTCAGCTCCTAGACAAAATAAGTCGGCCCCTGAAATCAGGCAGAGACGACACCTGACGTGAGACAGGAGGCATCGCCTCCTCCCTTGGGACGAGGGCGCCAGGTGCCCGGGCCAGGTCTGGCCAGCCAGCAGGCAGCAGACTGGGCCTCCCCCAAGCCTGACCAGAAGAGGCCGCCGAGCCAGCCGGGAGGGAGCCCCAGGCCGGAGCCTGGGCTGAGGAGGGCGAGGGGTCCCTCTTTCTCCAGCAGCGACTCCTGCGAATGTCAAGACTTTGAAACACCCAGAACTAAAATCCCGCGCCAACGGGGTGCGCCCCCCTCCCACTGTGCCGGGGACCCGGTCGTGACGCCCTTCCCAGAAGCGGAGGGGGCTTCTTGGGGCATCTCAGGAGCTCAGCTGAGCTTCCATAAAATTCCCTCTGATCTAGCAAGTGAAAGATGACCAATTCTCTCCTAATTTAGGTTTCTGGCAGGTTTTGTCTCAGTATTAGGAAAAAGCATTTAGTGACCGTCGAAACTCTGGGTGATCTCGGCAGTGCAGTGCCGACAGCCAAACCCTAAGTAACCTCTATCTTTACTTTATGACTAAAATTTTTGCTTTCGAAATAAAAACTCCCAGGACCTCCGTGGGGGCAGGCATCAGTGTCAGCGCTACGAGGCTGTCCCCGTCACTGGCCTGACTGTCCCCGGCAGGGAGTGACCGCAGGTGCAGCAGCCCCCTCTCCGTGCCCTGCAGCAGTGGGCTGGGGTTCTGCTCCCCACTCTGTCTCTGGGGGTGCTCTCACCCTCACCTCTGGCCTGGACCCCAGCTCTTGTATGCGCAAATAAATCTTAAAAAAAAAGCAATGAAAACACCCAACATTAAGACTTCCTGAACCCAACATCAATGTGGAAAAAATAAGTTATATTCAATGCAACATTATACACATTAAGTGTTTCAAGCCAAACCATTACATTAGAAATTAGTTCCCATTAACCAAAAAACCACTGCTGGGGACACGCAGGCGCCACAGACAGCTCCAGCTCTCCTGACCCCCCTTGAGGGCAAAGCCTCACTTGCTGCCCCTGGGGCCTGTTCACAGCAGCAGGGCAGGCCACCTCCCCGCCCGGGGCCAGGCTGTGTGGGCCTGACAAGCGCCGTCTGCAAAGAACCAAAAGGAAAAAGCAAAGCAGGTCCAGAGACGAAACAGAGACTTGCAAAATTCAGCGCCGTAAAAATCAAACAGTGAAGCCCCAAGTTGAGCTCTGCAAGGTGCCGAGACCGGTCTCAGGTCATCTCCTGGCCCTGCTGCCAGGACCTTGGGGCTGCGGGGCTGCAGGCTTGAAAGAAAGGGGTGGCCCAGGCTGGCGCCACGGGCAGGCATGGGGGAGTCT